AATTTTAATTTTTGTCTATCTGATTCCAATAACTATTGAAAACCTAATGCAAAAGTATGCAAGCATGTAGCTGTTTTACAAATAAATTTATACATGATCATGTATAAAACGTTTATACTTTTTTTTATCATTGCGAGTCATTTTTTTGTTCCGTTTTCTGAAAAAAGGACCTGCATGATAACGCTACGTGAAATCGCATGACAACGCCAACCATCGAGCTACCCATGCACCACACGTCCGAAACGAACCGAGTTATGCAAATTCGCGTACACGCAACTCTGTATCCGTTCTCATTGGTTCGGGACGAATGCATCGTTGATATTGTTCTCAAATCACTCGATGTGCTGACATGGAACACGAGAATGAACGCGCCGTGATAGTAGTCGACGATAACACGCTCGATACGATTACGCTCTCGAAATGATACGATCCGATTGGAAATAGATTGATTTATTGTGCGTTCAGCAATACGTCTAAATTACTTGCATGATTTTGCATGAACAATACATCATATTGCACACAATCACATACACAAATAATGTGTGTGTGTCTGCCTTTTTAAGCTCAAGTAATTACAGAGTAACATTATTGAATTTGTCATTTCTTAATTAATTTTTCTGAATATATAGATATACAATACATTTTGTGATAGATATTTGTCGTATTATTTATATTGCCAATCATTACCAATACAATTAATTTGGCGGTTTTTATTATGTATAGCTTGTTTTATAAAATACGAATAAAAAAATGTATGATATTTAAAAATAACAGGTGAGGGTATATATATATATATATATGTATATATATACATATATATCCGCGGTAATCATTGCATAATTTTTGTACATATATTCAAGTATCCATTACATTACTTTACAATGATTTTGAACGTTTCGACTTCCTTCAAGCCATAATCAGCAAAGAGAAATGAAATAAAAAGTAAAAAATTAAATTAAATACAAATTAAATATTAATTGTCATCTGTTATTAATAGTAACTTTTCCTGTGTCGTTTTACGATAATACAGTTATACGGATAATACACTTAGTTTAGTAGTAAAATGTTTGCGAATAGCTACATATTGTATTCTATGTAAAAGCAATATGCATTAAATTTCTACAGTACGTGCTTTAACTGTGATTGCGATTCGAATATCCGTGGTTGGACCATCATTGGATCAGCAGATATCGTAGATAATGACGATGCAACCATTATATTTCAATCAGATTTCTTAGTCTACATATGTATTTACGACCGCCAACAAAAACATCTCCAAAAATAACTACTAGTTGTAAATGCTTATAATAAAATCTTTATTATATTTTTATTTAAATAGAAACATTGCGTAAAAATTTGTAATGAAAAATATTGCTCAACAAAATGTAGAAATATTCTCGAGAAACATTTAATATGGAAATAACGCTATCGGGAAGCTACTGAAATTAAACATTCGATGCCTGGTTCGATGCTGCTAAATAGAAATTCCCGACATTCCGTAATCCTCTTCAACTATTAATTTGATCGTGTCGTAGAGGGAGTGTGCTAACAATGAAACTTACTGAAATTGAAATTGCATTTGACTTATTAATAAAGTGACAACTGCCACGTTAATATGCAACATTATTTTGATAATTGAGTTATCAATTACAATGGTTTTTCGAAATTATTTTATCTCTTAAAAATTCTTTACGGGTAGGAAATCTAATCATTAAAATAAGACTTGTATTTTTTTGAAAGCAGTGAAAAGTAAAGACAAAAGTGTCGAAACTACATATCTATTCGTTCACTTAGGTTTGTTCATTTATATTTATAATGCAAATAACTACGATTGGAACACGTGTCAGGAAGACAATGATTCATAGAAAATGATAAAATGGCGATATCACTGACATTGAAAATTGTTAATTACTTCCCTATTTGTTATCTTCGACAATATATCTAATTGTCGCAGTACTTATGTCAGTTAGAATTTAAATGGCCATTTATCTGTCATTTTCGTTCAAGGAACAAAATGTTAATTTTCTGTTGCACAACGCTTCTCGTTAAATTAATTTATTGCTACATCATTTATACAACATTGTAACAATAAATCAAATTATTTGCATACATAATATTTATAAAATAAAGTAACCAGACCCTAGTACCTAATACAACCTACGCGCTGTAGATAATTATAAATTCAACATATATGACACTAACAAGTCGTACAAACTATCTGTCTGACTCAATTGCATCAACTTTTTGCGTCATTCTATTGTCAGTAAAGCAAAACGTTATAGTCATAATGTAATATTTTGTAGGTAAATAATTTCTTTCTATAACTACCAAGAAATTGTTATTAATTTCCATAGTTTATTTTATTGTAACTGTACATTTGCATTTTACAACACTGTATTTAATTTATATTTTTGTCACAATGTTTTGTTTATAATTAAGAAACTCTTTGTAAGTCCTATCGAAAATAAAAATCGGAGCGTAAGTCGAACGTAAGGAAAGAGTAATAAAAGCTTCTTGGAAGCAAAAATTGAGACAATGGAACGTAAGAGAAACGCCTCTTTTACACTTTGTTGTTTCAATTTTCGCTTTTTAGAAGTTTTGTTTGCGCTTCTGTCACTCTCCTCTTACATTCGACTTACACTCTAATTATTATTTTTGCCAGAGAGGTAACATTAATATTACTAATCACAGACATACTAAGTGTCCACATGTTAATTGCAATGGTTTTTTCCTACTGTTATTATTTCAGACCATAGATTCCACTTCACCTGCTAAACATTGTGGACATAAGTAGATAAATTGATTGTTTATAAAACAGTTCTTGTGTTTCTTAGATATCAATAAATATATCAATAAATTATAATATCATACAAAAGTGACATTGGATCCTTTTGTTTTTCATTTTTCTAATATGTTTTTACGAAAGTGAAAAACATGTACTCTTAGGTCATATTAGGTACATATGTAAATGCTATTTTCTAAAAATCTTAATCTTTTTAAAATCACTGTACTTATATAAATATTTAAAAATGTCATATTTTTTAACATTTAGAAATATTTCTTTTTTTAAACCAGATCATTAATTTTTAATTTTGGACTTACAATCAGTAAAAAATTGGAAAACATTACAAAGCTTAAGTAGGTAGGATATACAAAGTCCGGTTATTTTAATTTATTAAAATTAATTGCATTATTCTACGTAAATAGCATAATTAGCACGTAAATTATATGTAAATCAATATAATACAAGCCTAACATACAAGTAATGTAAATTTTACACTGGAAACATAATTTTCGACGTACTGCTTGTATTAAGTAAATATACTTAGGCTAGTTGAATTACTTTGAGCTTTCACACGCGGTGCGAATTTAGGATTGTTCATCTCTTTCAAGTTTGAACTCTTTCCAACCGCTGTAAGTAGAAACAGCACTCCAGAATATACATTTGCGATTTTTCTTTACTATAATCTGGAATTTTATTTTGACATGCTAAAGCAGAATGTGCAGATTAGCATTAATTTAAACATTAAGAAGAATATATTTATATTTATCACATACGATACATATGTGAGATAAATATAATAAAAAGGTTATGCAAATTCGCGTACGTAAAAAAATCACACATCATTTATCTTTAAATAACAATTTACCATTGTATATATAGAAAAGAGAGTTCATAAAAATTTTGTCGTTAAATGAGCTTGTATCAAATCATAAATAAAGAAACGAGTAAAGTTATCTTATAATTAGAAAGGCGCAATTTGCCTACAAAATAAGTGCCTACAGCTCTATTTGTGCATGATCGTATTGTCCACAATACATCGCACATATGACTATATGCCATTTTGTGCACTGAACCGTGTATTGCGCGCGCGTACACGTGTCACATTGCGCATATGGTCATATATGATACATATGAGGAATACATTTTGGATATAATACATATTGGATATGTAAAATAAAAAAGTTATACTCTCAACTTATACGTATTCCGTTTATGATTGAGTATTAATGAAATAATTATTTTTACATCTATTACATAAGCGGTTCTGTACCTATATCTTTAATGATAACATAAATATATAATAAACGCAATGATATCTAATTTTTTGACAGTTCTAATCTTCTGTTCGGTTTTTGCAATATTTTTTTTAGCATGTTATAATGCAACAATATTTATCTATTACATAAAACAGCAGACTATGCTCGGTTATCATCGGAGTTCTACGAACATAATATGCAATACTGCACATATGATAGCAATGTGCATAGACGCAATACAATCGTATACACGACACGATTATATGCACAAAGTCATATATGTGGTTTGGGATGCTTTCCAGCAAGAGACACAGTTGCACAGTGTAACACAGTAAATCATTACATTTATATTGTTTGTTAATGTTAAATGAAGGTGATCACTGTGACATGTCACATTATGTCGCTTACTGGAAAGCACTATTAGTATGTAACGTGACACGTGTGCAGTATGGTCGTGTCCAATACGCTGTGCACAATACGGTCGCGTGTACAATGTGTTGTGTGCATTATAGTTGTGTGTGCAATATGGTTATGTGCAACGAAGTTGCAGGTAATTATTTTGTAGGCAAACAGGAGCCTTCTTTTATAATTCCAAAATAATAAATGTTAGTATCTCTCTATCGTTGACATAGTATATTCGAAAAATATAACTCATTTATTGTTTGTCGTTCAGATTACATATCCTATATATTTGGTTGATGATAAATAAATGTTTAGTTGTTTTATAAAAAAATTTATTTATTTTTATAGTCATTTAAAAATAGCAAATAAATTGAAATTAAAAGACAGACGTATCGCAGTTAAAAGTTATACTTGTATAAAATTAATGAGATATACATATAATTATGTCAAATTAATAATATATATCGTAAAAAAACAACAGTTTATTATTTTATTTCAAGAAATAAATATTACAACTATTGTTTAATTAACAAACGTTGAAATTACATGTTGCTTATTTTACTCTATTATTTCGATGTACTTAATCAAACTTACTAACAGTAAGTATATTAAGGACTTTGTGTAAATCTTGTATTATATATTAGGCATTAATTGTTAGATAATATAATAATTGTTCAGTGTCGTTATTTTACAGTGAGTTGCGAGCTTATTATGTACGCGAGTACTTTGCTAATCTTCCAGATGCAGCAGAACTTGCAGCTCCAGCGGAAGCAGCACCAATACCATCACCAATACCTTTATAATTGTTATTGCCTATAGGACGTGGCGGTATTAGACGGCTAGAGCCAGGAACATTCGGTGCTAGACGCGCAACATTCGGCCATATATCTCCATGTATGACACGATGTAATATAGGATATTCAGGTGGAATATTTATACGTTGACCAAAACGGGTACGGAAGTAATCAATATAATTTCTGAAGCCGTTGAAAGCACTTGATGCTGCATTAGCTGCTGATGTCACAAAATTATGAGATAACTCGCGAATGGGTATACCTGGAAACTCTGAGACAACGTCTTCGTGAAACAGTCCTGGTATAATTCCTCCATGTATCATCTGTAAAAATTGTGCAAAATATTGTTAACAAATACAGCACTACATCGAAAAATCTACAAGAAATATATACGATCGATGAGTCATTAAATAACTTTAAGTTTGCTCTCAAAAATTAAGGTGGAATATATTAAAATTACTTATTGGTTCACTTATATACAAAGTGTTCATAAAAAAATATTTAACGTTTATAGATAATACACATTATACTGACAATGAGTAAAGAAGATCACTAAGGCTTTTTTATTCTGTATTAATGATGTGTATTATCACATAAATTCTAAATGTTTTTTTGTAAAGTCTGTATATGTATATTTCGCATAACTTTTCTGCATATGATATTATAAACTATAATGTTCTTTTCTATTTAATATAGTTTTACAATCAACGAACAAATGTTCGCTGTTATATTTTACACGATTTAAATTAAATTTAAATGTATTACTGAAACATATATGTAACTTTAATTTATTTATAATATTAATTTAATTTACAATTGAGGAGATGGGCGGAATAAAGGCATAATTCTACTTAGGCCCTTTTTTCGGTAATTAGTTTTTTCATGTAATATTGATCATAATACAGAAGTATTGTAACATGTAATTTCTTAAAAACATTACATAAATTTATTTAATATATTGTACCCATTTGTGTATATAATAAAAAAGTAGCAAGTTATTTTAATTTGTATTAATATCAAGATTTTGTAATTAGGCTTTTATTCTGCCCATCCCCTCTATATTCAATTAATATATCAATTAATTTGTGTATTTCAGAATATTGTTTTAGAGAGACGTGGTATATTTACGTACATTTGCAGAAATGAGTGACAGGAATATCGCAGAAATGATGTGACTTCGAGCCATGATGAGAAATTGGATTCGAATAACGTGTAAACGTAAATGACTTTAGTACTGAATTGTTAATTGCACACAACTAATTTTTTTTGTTTCAGAATATCTTTTTATATGCTGGAATGATGTATTTTTTGCACAAAATCCACGTCTCAATGAATCTTTAAACATTGATATGTCTCGTTCTGGCAATTATTGGTTTTGAATATGTCGCACGATTACGATTGCGATTATTTGTATCAATGTGCATGCGATAATATAAGCAAGATTGTCTTAATCGGTCTCACGTACGGTGATCTCATATTTCGACGTGTCCTTGAAATACGTATAATCGAAATGCAATCGAATTGAGTTTAAGTAAGTTGATATATGTAAACTAAATTGAAAGGATAGGAGCCAGTCGAGTCCAAACACCAGTTAAAGTTGTGTATTAAATTTTTATTCTTATTTTAATATGTCCATACGTTTCGATCCTTGAATTGGATCCTTATCAATGGTAACTTTAAAAATGTATATCATATATGTAAACTAAAACATACACGAATAAAAGGGAGAGAGAGATTCAAAAATTTAATAATAATGTACATACATAATATAATTTTCGTAATTAATAGCTTTGTAAATAATTATTCATTTAATATACTTATTAATCCACTTTAAAAAAAATTGTGGAATAAAATGGTTATAACAAATTCTTCAGTGAACAATTATAGACGATGATATATTGTATTAAGAAACGTAAACAGAGAGATAATGAGTTTTAAATAATTTTTTTATTTTTTGGGGAAAGCACACAAAATAAAGTCTATGGAATTTTGGTATTTAAATCGACAATACAATTTCATGGCACATATAACATTCGAAAATTATTGCAAATTTTAATTAGGACTAAATTAAATATCTTGTCTTCCCTCTCTGTGCAATATTACAAGCATGAAACACATACATGCTTTATCGTGTTGATCGTGTGTAAAGAAGCATTTCTCTTCTTCTCTTCAATTAATTCTAAATTAAAATAAATTAGAAATATATATATTAACCAGGATTGGTAAAGAATGTTTTTTTTTAAGAATAAAACATATTATGTTTCTTCTTGAATATGTTTTTAATGCTTCAAATATGCTTTGAACAGTACTATAAAAAAAAACATATTTAAAACATATTAAAAACATCAATTAAGCATGTTTTAAACTGTTTAAAACACGTTTAAAACGTTTTTTTTACCAACCCTGATATTAACATATATTTGTAGCGGCTCATAAATAGGTACAATCTTTCATCATATTATACAAAGTTATTTATCTTTTATTAATCCGCCTATTATTTTAACAAAGGCTAATCCTATAGAGAGACAGCTTAATGTTGCTTTATGCATAAATTTTGTACTATTCTTGATATTTAATGTATAAGATATTTAATGTTGCAAATTAAGAAAATGTCTTAAATGAAATTTTTATCAAGGTAAAATTTAATCAAAAAGAAATCTATGAAATTTTTTTTGCTTTCTATGTTTCTTTAGTATAGTTTCTCGTATTATATCTTTTTGTAACCAACGCTATTTTGTATATTTTAATATATTATTTTTTGCGTATGGAAAATAATTACGTCATTATAAGAAATTATAAATAATAATTAATTATTACAAGGACACAAAATGTAACGATATATGTGTGTTAGGTGTCAGATAATTTTTACAGAGCTGCGCATTAATATGGGAGGATCTGTATGCGACGTTGCATTATGGAAATATCGAAATTCGTTCATTCTTAAACTGCATTTGTATCATTGTCATCGGGTACCTCAGTATTGTTATCGTGATAACAAGGCCTTAAATGAAGGCAATTACGTGGAAAATGTCGAAATACATAACAAATGACAATCAACAATCGAACGACAATAATTTGATGACATGAATAACTTCTGCTGTGGCTGTGAAGTCATTATAATTTGGAATCAAACGATTTAATCGATTCGTTTATCCATTTTTAATATCTTCGAGAGAGTCGTTTGTATAATACTGTGCTTATTCGCGTTTGGCAATTAATTATTGGGAAAAAATACTTTATATTATATTGTTTTGCTCTTTTTATGTGTTTCTATCCTAAAGTATTAATTAATATTATTAATAGTATATATTCGACAAATTTTTAATCATGTACAAATACTTTTTTAGATTGAACGGCAAATAATATCTATTATTTATAGCGTTTCTAAATCATCAATAAGCCTTTTTTTTCTTATTTTATTTATTATATAACAAAATTATTAATCTCGAAATGTTTCAGTACTTACTTATTCTCAGATTTATCAATCACATATAAATTATTGAGATAAAAAAAAGTAAAAGTTTAAGATATATTAATAAATTTTGTTATATGAATAAAATGACAAATATAACCTCGTTTGTAATAATTTGTAAACGCTGGTTAATAACGGAATATTATTTGTCGTTCAAAGTAAATAGGTTTATTTTCCGTCAATATTTTGGTACGCCCTGTATCTAAATATCGGATTGATAAAACGTTCACGTGGATGTTGCACACTCGTGATTTTTTTATCTCGCTTACAACAGGGCACGTAAAGTTAACGAGCAATTCCGTAGAACACATCGGCGTATTTTTCTCGTTGCACGCACGCTCACAGATGTAACAAACCGCGCGGGGTAACAATGAAATACAATTAACCAGACAATTTTACGCGAGTACGGAGAAAAACAGGAGAGGTATTTCCCGCTAGTAATCCTCATAATGGCATAACGCAACGGACCTGATGCACTTTGCTCTAATGCACTCAGCATTGCAACCGTCAACAGTGTACTGGATGGAACGCTTGAAATTAATATCTCGTTGTAGGATATCGTTGGAAATTCTAACGGACAATAATGAGAATGTTAAAATTTGTATATATTTTTTTTATATTTCCAGTCTCTCTAGGACGGTTTTATTCTATTTTAAACGTTATTATATAATCTAAATGTTGCTATAATATTCGATAAAAATTGTATAATTCAAAATGCGTGTATTATTTACACAGAATTGCGAAATTCATGCTTATATCTACAGTATTTCATTTTTAAGAGAAATGCGAATGTTTAAGAGAGAAAGAATTCAAGAGTGCTTATTAAAAATTTCAGCTTAAGATAGGCTGCATGCGCGACTGTATGTTCTCTTAAACAAAACCTTCCGCAAGATAACGATATCACGGTCACGAAGAAGAATCGCAGGCGTTCGTGAATTTTCCAGCTGCGACAACATCACCGATAATGTTTTTAATTTTACATGCCTACATGCCGATAAACCTGACAATTTAAATGCAGCGTCAGACGAATGTCCGAATTTAGATTTATTCGTTTATAGGATCTAGCCAAAATGGATCGTCCCATAATATGCAAACAATAGTATAAAAGATCTCGCCGTGTTTCGATATCGGAGATTTTCAGAATGAGAAGAAGAGGAAGATTCGATAACGTCATACAATTAATGTAAAATATTCTCGCCACAAAATGATTTAATCTTGACTATCTCACGGTAATTACGTTAATTCAATCTGTATTTAAATCTACATTTGATATCTACGAGCCAATAATTTTTCATAATTGCTCATTCGAATAGTTAAAAGGAAAGATAAAACATTTCGAAGACAAATGCGTATATTATACGAATTTATATATCTTTTAGAAAGTAATTAATTATTTGTTTGACTTATTGCCAAGACTTTCTCTCAACAATTATGTTTGCAAAAAATTATGTTTGTTAATTAAATTGAATATTTAATTCGAGACCTAATCTCTTGACGGTAATATTAACTTCAATATTAAATCAACTATCTTTCGAGGAGTTTATATTCGTTGAGAGACTCTTTTAATGTTTGCCTTTCCGTTACGCCATTGCGAAAGATATAGAAAGAATCTAAGAAGGGTCCTAATCTGATGGCAAAGGACGACGCCAGACGAAGATTAATGGTCCCATGATACTGGATCTCGCCAGACTTCTTCATACAATTTGTACGAAACTTGCGATCATATTTTTCAACTATAAAAAATATCTAGAATGTTGAAATATTATAGAATATTTAGCACTGAGAACAATTTAGAAACTTTTTGAATAATTTTGATAATTTTCTGAGATACATTAAAATATTCGTATGCGCAGAATCTCAACATTGCTTAATATTATATATTGTATCAAGTGCTAATAATTTTTTCTCTCTTCAAGTACTATAATATCTTCATTACAAAAATTAATTTTCTGCACGTCGTAGGATTTGAGTTTTTGTTTCTATTTGAAATACATTTTCTTTTTAATCTATTTTTATGATGATAGGCAAGACACAGTGCCGTATTAAGATATGTGTTGAGTGAACTGTAGTCCACGGCGGACAATTTTAGAGATATTTTTATTAGTTAAGCATTAAAATAATGTTATTCATATATGATTTAAAGTTACTAGACAAACAAGATGATTCATAATGCGCAATTCATAGTGAAGAAAGACTAAATTCGCTTTCTATTTTTTATATATCGTATTCGAAATTTTTTACATCATGTAAAAACGTGCTCGAAAAATTTCAACTTATGGACGTGGATTAATGCGGCCCTGATAGACACACGAAGCATTCTAATGGTCATTCTTTTGTTTGTCGAAAACAAAACTGAGGCCAAATTGAAAAGAATGGTAGCCGTTTGGACATCAAAATGTCGATAGTTACAGAGTTATTTCACATGGAGAATTTATTCTGAAAAAAAAAAAGACTTATTTATTGCGAACAAATTCCAGAAGTATAGAAACACGCGTAACAAAAGTCTAATTATAATTAATTAAAAAAATATTACGTGAGAAAATCTTTATTTAACACATTTATATTAATAGATTTATTAATAGAATATAATTTGACAACTGTAGAAATTCGATACATTAACATATTTTTATTAGAATATACAAGGCAGCACTTGTGTAATGTATGAAACATAAATTTTATTGGAATCTGTTATTTCATGTGTGGAAATCTCCCCAAATACAACATAATACATTGGTGCAGAAGAATAATATTTAAATAAATGCCGGCGGATATAAACTCTCAGTCTATTAAATTATAAAAATTGTGTTAACGAAAACATTAGAGAGTATAATTGTCTTTAAATGCGATAAATGCTTCTAATTTATAAATTAGATGTAATAATTTCTTATTATTGACAATTATTGTCATACATATATATGTTACATGTTATTTGTTCTTTAGAAAATGAGGATTGTTATAATTGAATACAATAGATATTAGAAGTAATTAATTTTTTCAAAATAAACAATAATGCAAATAATAATAAAATTAATAAAATATAGATTTATTTATAGAATAGTAACTTTGACTGTATAGACATTTTTCCATAATTTTTTACTCATCCTATGGACATGATCATTTTATTCTCATCTTATCGATCTCAA